GAAGCGATTTTTTTTGGTTGGGGGTGGGGGGGGCAAGTTTCGGCCTCTGGGGGACCTCGCCGTTTTCTAGAAGCTTTTCTTTGGCTGGGCCAGGTTTCGGCCTCTGGGTGCCCTCGCCGGGCCCAGGGATCGTCGAAGAATGCCCCAGGACGAAAGTCCGGTCCCGAGGAATGGGTCCAGACCTTGGGAGTCCATGTCATGAAAATGCTATGACCTCTGGGCTGTGGGCACCAATCGGAATGGGAGCGGGAAGCAAGGGGAAGGAGACCAACAGCCGCCCCTGTCCACTTTGAGCAGGACTCGCTGTCGGCTTCGCCGCGAGCGGTGCCCCTTCGAGACAGACTGTTGCCTGCCCCAAAGCCGCTGCTGTCAGGTCTGCGTCGCATCTGCTGTTGGGCATCATGCCCATTTCTGTCCGCGCCCATGCTGGGCGTGCCGAGGGGAGGAGCACGAGGCTGGCCGCGCTCCAGGGGCGGGCCTCGCGTTGGGCGCGGCCCGCCTGCCGCCGGGGGGGGCTGGCAGAAGCAGAGCGAGGGCGGGTCCGCGGGCAGAAGCCGGCGGGAGGCGGGCGGCGGGCGGCGGAAGTGGAAGGGGGGCGTCAGCTCTGACACGAGCCCCAGCATGCTGACGCCTCGTCTTGACTTCCACCCGCCTTCCATCCGCGCTGGCCCCTCGCCGGCCGCATCGTCGGGTGGTTGCGCGGGCCTCGGCAGGCTGCCGGCCGGCCGGGCGATGCGCCCTCCTCCTCCTCCTCCTCCTCCTTGTCCTCGTCCTCCTCCTCCTTCTTCTCCTCCTCCTCCGCCTCCTTCCCCTCCCCCTCCTTCATTCTCATATGGGGACCTGTGAGGAGGCCGCCTCCCAGCCACGGAGGCCCTCCCGAGACGGCTCTGGCTGCCGGGGCTGAGCGGGAGGCTGTGGTGGCTGCAGCCCAGGAGTCGGCCAGCCTTGCGGCTGGCCGACGCCCCTTCCCAGACCCCCGACGTCATGCTCTTTCGCAGCGTGGGCCGGCGTCCGGCGGGCCTCCTCGTCTCCGCGCCGCCCCACCGCGCGCCGAGCCCACTCGCGGGCTGGGCACGTCTTCGCCTCGGGCCCTGCAAGAGGCCACGCGGGCCACGCGGCCGGCGTTCACCGAGGAGACCGCGGTCGGCCGATGGTCGTGCGACCGCGGCCACGGCGATCGGCCCGCGGCCTCTGCGACGCAGGGCCGCGCACGGCGGCCTGGTCAGGTTGGGAGGGCGCCCAGGCGCGTCCCGGGCCCATGACTCCTCTTCCTCCTCTTCCTGGCTTGGCGAGGATATGTATGTATGTATGTATGTATGTATGTATGTATGTATGTTTGTATGTATGTATGTATGTATGTATGTATGTAAGTATGTATGTATTCATGCATGCATGCATGCATGCATGTATGTGTGTATGTATGTATGTATGTACGCATGCATGCATGCATGCATGTATGTATATATGTATGCATGCATGCATGTATGTATGTATATATGTATGTATGTATGTATGTATGTATGTATGTATGTATGTATGTATGTATGTATGTCATGTATGTATGTATGTATGTATGCATGCATGTATGTATGTATGTATGTATGTATGTATATGTGTATGTATGTATGTATGTATGTATGTATGTATGTATGTATGTATGTATGTCTACTTGTGTGTCTGTATGCATGTATGCATGTGTGTATGTATGTATGTATGCATGTATGTATGTATGTATGTCTGTATGTATGTATGTATGTGTGTGTATGTATATATGTATGTATGTATGTATGCATGCATGTATGTATGTATGTATGCATGTATGATGCATGTATGTATGTATGTATGCATGTATGTATGTATGTATTTATGTATGTATGTATGCCTGTCTGTCTGTCTGTCTGTCTGTCTGTCTGTCTGTATGTATGTATGTATGTATGTATCGTATGTATGTGTATACGTATGCATGTGTGTATGTATGTATGTACGTATGTATCTATGTATGTGTGTATGCATGTACGTACGTACGTACGTATGTATGTATGTATGCATGCATATATGTATGCGTGTATGAATGTATGTATGTGTATATGTATGTATGTATGTATGTATGTATGTATGTATGTATCTATGTATGTATGTATGTATGTATGTATGTATGTATGTATGTATGCATGTGTGTATGTATGTACGTATGCGTGTATAGATGTGTGTAACTGTGCGTATGTATGTATGCATGCATGTATATATGTATGTATGTATATATGTACGTATGCCTGTCTGTCTGTCTGTCTGTATGTATGTATGTATGCATGCATGCATGCATGTATGTGTGTGTATGAATATGTATATATATGTATGTATGATATGCCCCCTCGCCCCAGATGGGATGGTCCCAGGGTTCACAGGATCCCCCCTGATGGGATGTCGGGGGGGAGGACGACGACGACGACGGCAGCGGCGACGGAAGACGTCGACGACGACGACGACGGAAGAGGGCGCC